TTCTTTACTTTTATTTTTTTTTCTTTTTTTTCTTTTTTTTTTTTAGAGATATCTGCACATTTTTCTAATACAATCATCATTGTGTCACAATTGATAGAAATTTTGATAGTATCTTTATTTTATTATTTCGCAATCTGGCCAGCAATTCTTTCATTCATAATAACTTTTACTTGCTGATATACTTTCTTATATTGTTTTTTTTCGATATATTTAAATAGATCGATAAGCGTGCTAATTCGAAATCCTTTGAACTATTGATAAAGTCAAATCATAGGAGGCTCAATATATTCAAAAAATGCATTCATATTATAGAAATTATTTTGATGACAACTATATTCTCAGTTTTGTTTTTTGTCAAATCTTTGATGTGATTTGGTAGCTTTTTGAAAAGTTGTATAACAATATATTGCAATGTGCTATATTTAATAAGACGCATTTATTATTCGCTGTATTAACATTGTGCATGTAACTTTCATATATTACTTGACGTTACTTCCATTGTTTTAACTTATCAGTCAGTGTGTACACATAAAGTTATTTGTGACTCATTGGCGTGTCGTTGCCAAACAAATAAAGGAAGAGATATTTGATACTTTTTAGTAATACAATTAATAAAATTTACATTTATAAAGAAACATGTATGCGTAAGCGTTTACAACAACACAGTTATTTACTGCTGTAAACTGCGAAACATTTTTGAATAAATTATATTTATGTAAAAAAGAATGATAGTTGTTTACTTTATTCGATCTATTCTGATTCTGATCCTTGTTTCTGTAGGTCGGCACTGCTAACGGTAGCTTGGACAGAAAGCCATTAACAGATCCGAAGGCTGAACAGATCAAAGCAGAATGTACATACAGAAATAATTATGAACGGGCTTGTAAACGCAAAGCAAGCACTCTCATCGCTCAATTGAATAAAAAGAGTTCCACCGAGGATGAAAGTGACGATGAATCTAACTTTTTTCGTACTAAGAAAAAAAAAAACCAATGTAGTGGCAATAAAGTGAGTAACGCGGAGCGTGCTGCGAATCAGCACGCACATACTACCAGCCATGAACAAGCAATGAGTGTGATCTCGCATCAAGGACCCTCTAACGGCGACAATAACGATCCTAAAAATACGCATCGTAAAAGAAAGACTGCTGAAGAGAAAGAAAGATTGTCGCCTGAGTTAGACACGTATCCTCGAAGGATAGTACCTCCCATTCCTAAAGCGCGTTTAAGTTTATCCAGACATAGAAAAGAAAACGCTGTATCAAAATTGTCTCAGCAACAAACCCAAATTACCGATAAAATTGCCGAACAGACCAAAAGTCAACAGAAGAAGGCAATCGGGTGTGAAGAAATCCGTAAGAAACTGGAAGAAGACTGGCATAGCAGCGAGGAAGATTCCGCGGCGGCGAAGGACGTGGAGAATCGGCCTTTGCCGATACCGGCCAATGTACAATCGAAATTACAAGCACGATTGAACAAGACAGAAACGAGCGTGTCGCTTAACGCGAGGATAGCGGAAAAGAACGATCGCGCACAAGGCAAGGAAATGGGTTTGAAGTTCTATGAGCAACAAAAGAAGAAAGAGAAATTGAGTAGAACAGAGAATAGAAATGGAAAGTGGGAGGATGAATCGTCCGATGATGATGAGAGAAAATTGTCAAAGAGAATTCACGTGAGTTGGAAAACGCAACTTTCTCTCCTTTTCTCGCAATATTTCACACCGTGTTACTTTTTCTTACAACTTTTTTTTATATATTTATAGGCGCCTGACGTACGCAACGGCAATCATTCTGATAACGTATCTACTTCGTCGAGTAATATAAACTGTCCTATATGCAATAAATTATTTCCACACAACGAAATAGAAAATCACGCTGCTAATTGTGAACAATTCAACACGGATAACGAATCGAACGATAATAACCAGTTGAATCTGTTGGAGTGTGAAATATGCAATAATTACAAGACTCATAAGATGGCGGAATTCGAGGAGCATATTGGTCAATGTATAGATAAGAAGAAAAATAAAATGTACTCACGTGGTAAATTCAATATGTATTACATAATCTATTATTTGCTGATACGTTGAACAATATTATATTTGAATTATATGATAAACATCTGGATTGCCAATTTTTAATGTAAAGCCAGAATTTTCAACAACTTTTTAAAAACTGTATCCTTTTCTTTTTCAGAGTCTGACGTCGGCGCCGTATCTACTTCATCCTTTTGCGCTTTCAAGCCGATTAGTGAGAATCAGAAAGATTCCGAAATAGATTATTTAGGTCAGTTTTCTTCTAACAGTAAGACAAAAGTATCTAGTGGTAAAAAAAGGAAACGTTGATTACGTTTCACATTCTTAAATGATTTATTTATCATTGTTCCTTTGTTTTGTCTGAGATAAAGACAGCTCTTCAAAATATTACGAGATTTACGCAAATAATATAATATTCGATAACAGTGATCGGTTAATACATGTTTATTTTATATTTGTTTAGTATCTTATTCGATACTATATATGTACAACTATGTATAAATATATATACATATATCGCATACTCGCAAGAAAAGTGACAAAAGTCAAAAACAAATAAAATTGTTCGGGAGAGAGAAACTTTTCCTGATTGAAGGCCGATGTATTTATAGAACACACAATCCGCACATAAAAAAAAAATTCGAAAAATTTTGACTTGGGTCACTTTTCTTGTGCGATATACATGTGGTGTTTCATAACTCGCGACTTTTTGCGACAAATTTTTTTGAAGAAATTGAAGTCGATTTTGTCTTATAACGACGATATCGAGATAAATTGTTTCACATTTTTATAGTTAAATCTTTCAATAACATTTTATTAAAATAAAGTCAACTTGAAATTAACTAAAGAATATAATTATTCATTTGTTATAATTTAATTTGCGAAATATATTCTTTTTTTTATAACTATGAAACCATAAGTGCCTCGACAATTTTGTCAAAAAAGGAATTCACAAAGGACCCCGCACAAAACCACGGGAAATTGTATTTCGGTCAAATTTTTTGAAACTCTGGGGATCGATAGTTTATGATCCCCTGAGAAAAGTCTGTGAGTATGAAGCCCCACAAATCAAATGTTGGGCCTCCAGAATCATTAGAAGGGTCAAAAACTGCCAAAAATCGTTTATTTTAAGTAAGTTTATTTTAAGTTATCAACTGTATTGCTCTTACCTGCTTATCTGCGATTGTGTTCGAACATGTATGACAGTTAAAATATGTGAAAATGTGTGTGTGTATAGGTTTGTGTGAGCAGTACAGTTGATAACTCATTTACTTAAAATAAACGATTTTTGGCAGTTTTCGACCCTTCCAATGATTCTGGAGGCCCAAAAACATTTGATTTGTGGGGCTTCATACTCACAGACTTTTCTCAGGGGATTATAAACTATCGATCCCCAGAGTTTCAAAAAATTTGACCGAAATGCAATTTCCCGTGGTTTTGTGCGGGGTCCTTTATCAGCAATCAGTAATTTAAATCAAAATCGCGAATTGTGGAACACATTAGATGTTTAACTTTCAATGTAATTGTCAATCGTTTTTTTTTTTATATTGTTTAATTCTTTAACAAAAAATAAGGTTTATATATTTCTGATTTAAAATAAATACATAAAAATGGCTACTATAAAGATTTTATTTTATTTATTTTTTTGTAACATTACAATAATTTTTTGTGTAGCATAACTGCAATAAATAATTAAAAAGTAAAAGATTTTTATATTTGCACACTTTTATATTACATGATCAAGGGTTATATATACGCTATAAAATATTCTATTAAATTTAATCAGAATCAAAAGTTAGAAAAAATTGGAAGGAGATATTAAATATTATTAAACATATGTTAATTGTTAAACATGTAAGCACATTCCATTTGTGTATCATTAAAATTATTTAATTATGTAATATATGTGTAGTAAATCTGTAAACAAACACACAAATGTATATATTGCTTCTAGAAATTTTTTTTTAAATTGATATAAAATGTATATTACAGACGGGGTCCATAAATTTTCACACAACGCGCAAAAATGTAAATTAACATATTTTTGTACCGGCAGACAATTGTTGTTTATAAATAAAATAGCATTGAACTTGATTCACGAGTTTCCACATTAGCCTTGTGTTGATATCTAATTACAATAATTAACAATATTTTTGAAAATACCAACTATCAGCCATGCTGCTCAAAAGGAGCATGTAAAATGATATGAAATGAAATACTTGAAATATTGAACTATAAATTTGAAATACTTGATATACTTATATAATTATTTCCTTTTGGTAATACAAGGTTATGGATAGATAATATTTGCCCTATCTAAAGCGACAATCAAACTCTAATGAAGTGTTGTGCATCTGTGGATTAGATAATGATAAGCTGCTCCGTAAATAAGTCTCCACTTATTTCTGTGTTCGTATTTATTGGAATCTGGTACGTTTTCGAAAACGAAAGTCTGTATTAAACATATTAAAATACAAGATTTTCACTATATTATTTTCAGTTTTTGACTTGAAAGTTTCAATTTCTTATCATATTTCAGTACACATATCTATCACCTGCTGAAATGAAGCTTTTTATTTGTACATTGTACATTTTATTCTTAATTGGTGTACAAAGTCAAATCATAACCCTAAATGGTATATGGAATGGAGCCATTAATATCTGTGGTAAGTATCATGGAAAAAAAATGTTCTTGCTTTTTGTAAAGCGTAAAAATATGCCATTTCTTCTTTTAACAAACTTAACATATTGTACATGACAAAGATATACATGTATTAATGAGTATTTTAAAACATAATTTTTTTGTTTTCAGATAAAAAACCTTCCCAAGAATGCAATAATGGTAAGAAATTAAGATTTAACAATTTTAAATAAAATTATATATAATTATTTCCAAGGCTATAAACAGTTTTCTTTTCAAGTTTTTACTGTGTATAATTAATCTGATGATTCTGTTTTACAGATATCAATTTTATTGCAACTGTTCCTGGAGGAGTTTATACAGATTTATATAGAAACAATATAATAGAGGACAATCTGCTTGGAAGTAATGATATCAACAATCGTTGGGTCGGAAATCAATCGGTGATTTACACCAGGAATTTTAGTGGTAAATTAATGAAGATATAGATATAACACACTTTCTACATTAAATAGCAACTTGACATGAGAACTGTCTAGCATGTAATTTTCAGTAAGCAGTAATTTTTTAAAGGCTCGCAAAGTAGTCTTGGTTTTCCACGGAGTCGACACGTTTGCCAATGTTTTTTTGAACAATCATGCGATCGGCAAAACTTCAAATATGTTCTTGAGATATATCTTTGATGTGACGGATTATATCAAGGTGAAACAATAATTCAAATCTATGTAAAATATGCATTTGATAACAAAAATTTATTTTTTTTTTCTTTTCAAATACAGGAGGGACAAAATTTACTGAAAGTCGCATTTCGTTCGGCTGTTAAAGTGGCGGAGGATTTATATAACAAACAGAAAACAGATTATGTTGTGCCACCGGTGTGCGTACCCAAGGAATACAACGGGCAGTGTCATGTGAATCACATTCGCAAAATGCAAGCCAGCTTTTCGTGGGATTGGGGTCCCGCGTTTCCTTCGATTGGCATTTGGTAATTAGAGATTATCAATTTTCTTAATCTCATTTTTGTTACTCTCCACATTTTTCACTAGTAAAAACATGAGACAAGTTTGCAGGCGGGACGTTGAACTGATTCCCGTGAATGATATATTAATCAATGACGTTACAACCGACATACGCAAAGAGAACGACGCTTGGAACATCTTTGTTACGATATTTCTCGAGATAACGCAGAGTAAAAACAAGGAATTCGAGAGAATCAGTTGTCACGTATCGTCGATATTGCATGTTTCCCAAAGCAGACTTGTCAGCAACACTAGCGAAATCACACTCGACGCGAATGAGAAATATAGAAGAATTAACATTTCACTCACCGTGCCTGCAGTAAGTTGTTATACGATTATTAGTCGTTGATACTAAAAGTATCTCAGATGTAAATAATAGAGGAAGCAAATGATCCTTTCTGGCAAAATACAACCAAATGGATAAAAGGATCAAAATTTGAAATATAGAAGACAATTTATACAATGTAATTCATATAATCAATAATACTGCATTACTTTTTGTTAAAAGAATTACTTGCTATGTGTATAAAAAAATCAGCAATAGTTCCCAAATAATAATATTATAATTTTAACAATTTAATGTGCTATTTTAACAGGATGCTGTTGAGAATTGGTGGCCAAACGGTTACGGCGAGCAACACCTGTACGATTTAACCGCTATCGTGATAACGGCAAACGATGTGTCGCACAAACAGATCCGCATAGGCTTTAGAACAGTGGAACTGGTGGAGGAGCCTCTGATAAAGGGACTGAGCTTTTATTTCCGTATAAACGGCGTGCCAATCTTTGCGAAAGGCAGCAACTTCATTCCAGCCAGTGTCTTTCCTGAATTGGGCGCGAAGGAAGATACCATCAGGCATCTGCTGTTGTCCGTCAAGGAGACGCATATGAATATGCTGAGAGTATGGGGCGGTGGTGTCTACGAATCCAAATTGTTCTACGATCTAGCCGACGAATACGGAATCATGATCTGGCAAGATTTTATGTTCGCGTGCGCAATGTATCCAACGAGCGATTCCTTCTTGAAGAACGTGGAGGAGGAAGTGCTGCAGAATGTGATACGTTTGAAGAACCATCCGAGCATCGTGCTCTGGGCTGGCAATAATGAGAACGAAGCGGCGCTCTACGGAAATTGGTACGGCACTGGGTCTGCTCGAGTGTACAGAGACGATTACGTGAAACTCTACGTGGACTTGTTGAAGAGAGAAGTGGAGAAGCTGGATCCCGTGAGACCGTTTGTCGTATCCAGTCCGGGCAACGGGGCGCACGAGGAAACGTATAACTACACTGGAGCGAATCCTTACTCCAATATTCACGGCGACGGTAATACACAATCTCAAAACTTGCACATGTCCTTTGAATGACAGATTCTCTCCAATCGATCTTTGCTCGACGAAAATATTAAGGCAGCAGGCAGCTTCAGGGGCAAAGAACAAAATGACAAAAGTTAAAAGAATATGTGATGAAAATTGTGCAGATGTAATAATGATTTCTTTCTCAATATTTCTGCTGAAAAAAAATAGACTAAATTAGTCAAAAAATCTGTTATTAAGACTTTGATATTTACTTCTTCGGCGACATTCCCATAATTTAAATCTCTTATTTCATTTGGTAATTTTTAAGAAAAATGTCAAGATTAATCTTTAGCGACGCTCAAGTTCAATTTTACAGTTGAAACGAGTTCCGATCCAGCATGCTAACGTTAAATATTCACCTCTTTTCAGTTCACTATTACAACTATTTCAGAAATGGATGGGACATCAATCAGTATCCTCGGACAAGATTTTGCTCCGAATACGGTTTTCAATCCTGGCCATCGATATACACGATATCGACCGCGGTGGAGAGTACGAAGGATCTTCGCACGGACAGCGAATTCGTGAAACACCGACAGCATCAACCGCTCGGCAATCAATACATGTTGCTGCTGATCTTGCAAAACTTTGCTCTACCGCAAAATAACAACAGCGTCGAAAATTTCGCGAATTACATATACCTCAGTCAGATCAATCAAGCCGTTTCTCTGCGTGTGCAAACAGAGGCATACAGGCAGGCCAGATCCGAATTGAATTACATCGGCGAGGGTATGACAATGGGAGCTCTCTATTGGCAATTGAACGACGTCTGGCAAGCTCCCTCGTGGTCTTCTATAGGTAATTGTGACGTATTAATATCTTGGAATTCATTGAAAATAAATTCCGGTAATTTACAAATTTGTACATCTGTAGCTTAAATGCATGATTATGTTACGTTTTATTTAAAGTAAGATGTGCTGGATAATAAGCTCTGAAAAGTCTGATCGTTGGAGCTAAAGAGCGCATCAATTTGCCATGGCATTTGCAATACAAATTCTTCTGCGTTTACAGATATCGAAGGTCGTTGGAAAATGCTTCATTATTACGCCAAGGATTTCTTTGCACCCGTTATCGTCACACCACGCTTATCCGTCTCCGACGAACTCTCAGTTTATGTCGTGTCTGATCTGTTGTATGTATTAGCAAATTGTACAGTCGAAATTCACGTTTACAAGTGGAGAACCATAGAACCTGTATTCGTAAGGTCGTACAATGATTTTATAATAGTGAGTATCGATAACAAGCACGTGTGCAATTCATGCGTAAATATTTATACGATTAATTACACAATTTTTCCAGGAACCCGCAAAAGCCATGAAAATTACATCCTTCTGGCTAAGCGCATTTTTAGAACAAGCAAACTGTGGCTCATTGGAGTCTGCCAAAAGATTTTGCATAGCTACTTTATCCCTCACAGATGCATCTGGATCTTTAATTGCTCCAGTCAATTACATCTATCCTGATATATTAAAGAACATAGACATACCAGTAGCCAACGTCACTGTAAGCAAATCATTGGTGTCGCGTCTAATCGTTTAACGTATTACAAATGTAACTGCTGCAAGAAAAATATTGGCACGTAACATTTTTTTTCCTTTTTAGGTAAAAATTGAAGAAAATTACTTACCTGGGAAACTTTCCAATTATCCAGATGTAAAAATTGTATTATCGACAGATAACATAGCGCTGTTTGTATGGTTAGAAGTGGGCAATATACGCGGTCGTTTCTCCGAAAAATGGTTTCCACATGTTTCAGCGGGAGAAAGAAATTATCTTCCACGCGCACGAAGCGACCACGGTTGAATTATTGCGGAAAAATATAAAACTCACTGCATTGTCCGATATTTACAATACGCATGAGAATTTTGATAACTATCTTGAGATATAAAGATGGAAAGTTGATATTAATTTAATCCCACGTGTAAAATGTTTAAAATTTTACTACGTAATTCATTACATGTAAAGCATCGAATTAAGAGTTATTGTATAACCAAGCTTTTTGCAATAAAAAGTTCTAATTTTTAAACAGTCCTTGATAGAAAATAAGTATCATAGTGCAAATAAATTTCAAATCCAACAAGAACAATAAGTACAATCGCGGTTCCACCGAGTATCATGGACATTAAGTTGGACATTGCGTTTTAATTGCTTTATACGATAATTTGGGGCATAATACAACACGATTGGCGTGCCAAATGTTAAGAAAATTTATTACTATATCTTTGGTTACACGTTTGATGTGAAAAAATATGCATATAATCATGGTATCTTGAAGTCAGCACCACATCAACATGTTTTTGTTTATAAACTGACATAAGTAATAAAAACATTAGAAACGAAACACATATATGTATATATATAACTCTTGAAAAGTGTCGTAATAGCATCATATAGAGATTGTTAGATTTTTAATTTGATATATTTACATATCAAATTTCTGACACAAAGATTGCAATCGCGGAAGACTGAATCTATTGTCGTTCAAAACCAAATTTGTGCAAAAAAATTGTATATTTAGCAATACGTATAAATAGAATAATAATCTATTTTAATTGTGTATTCAATATGAATATTCTTAAGTCTAATAAGCGTAAGCTGAGATTTCTCTGTTAGTTCTGTTATCACATAAAAATATGTAAAGGACGCCCGTGTATATGTGCTGCACGTTTAGTCCAGCCATCGTACAGCGTTAACTTTCACAAAATTGATATCAAACTTTGAAATCTAAGACTGGAGCCAAGCCCGTAGCTCACAATATCATTAAGCAAATATATTAGTTTCTGTTAGACAAAGCGTAATACGATTTTGGCTCACGGCGTTGAATATGGCGGAATTATGACTTCGTCGTCGGGCGAGTGCAGGTAACGTCGACTTAAATTGATGGCGACCATAATGCAACACAGCAATAGCGGTCCAAAAATTGCTCCTTCTACGCCCAAACAGAAGATGCCGCCGGCTATCGACAGACCTGTTAAATAAGGATGTCCGCCTCTGTGAAATAAACAAGTTTTGTGAAAAATGTTGTGCGGTTGTGGCAATACACGTGCGTATCACAAAGCAATCTTTACCCTTTGATTTCCTTATAGAATTCTGTCACTACTATGTTACACGGAAGAAAGTGAAAGAGGAAAAAGGGAATGGCGATCATCGATCCACGGGTAAACCAGAGTTCTATAGTGGCCGGGATGCAGGCAAAATATGCGTCTAAAAAAGGGACCGCGCCCAACATGGTAGCGAAAACTGATGGTAAATAAACAATCTTCACTTGGAACAAGTTGTGTATGAACCATGTCCACATGCCGAAGAAGGAGGCGAGCTTGAAGGTGGCTGCGAACACCCCGATTACCGCTTCTTGCAACGCTATGGCGAGCCTGAACAAACAAAAATCAACACTGTCTTACATATCCTTGTCACGCGAAACAATTAATCTTTCACAGTAGCGTTGCCTAATTAAACATCAGCACAATTAACAGCATTGCATTGTAAAAAAAATGATCTTACCCTTCCACATGCTGCGTGCTTTTATTAAGAAAGAAATGTTTTTAGAAAATATTCAGATATTCCCGCACAAATGTAATGTCATAAAGGAATATTTAGGTGATTACCTGTGACAACTGATGGGACTAAACATGGTTGTTAGTTCAATGGGTTTGTAAGTCTTACCGCTGGAACTGAGCAAGTAAAACAAAGTTGTAAAGAACACAACCTGAAATAAAAAATTTTTACACTATGTCTTTTTCTTGTTTTTCCAACAAAACAAAGCTTCAAGACGTGTATTACCGTGCTGAGTACAAAGTTAAGTACTGCCGATCCGCTCATGAGTACAATATAAAATAATTCTGTGAAAATGGTTAATATCACAGACATATTGCCCTTGACGATACCCCAGACGGAGTCGAGCACCGACATCAAGATACCAATATTTTCCTTAGCAAAATTCTGTATGCTTGCCATATTGAACAAAACTAAAACAAAAAAAATTTCATGCATTATTTTATTGTCGCATAATGTATGATTCGTTGCCAAGTTATTAATAAAGAAAGTAATTTCACATTAAAACGTGAAATAAAAGCGTGGCAAATCGGGGATCTATATTTCGCAAATTTCTTAAATATTTACGGAAAGGTGTCCCGAGGCTTTCCTTGAGGCTTTCCCAGGCGGAATACGCGGACATAATGTCGACAGTGGGTCCCACGAGGTTTTCCGTGTTCGACATCATCCACGCTTGGTAGAGGCGATCCCAGAGTTCTAGAACTTTTATCTCCATCTGCTCCGCTTTCGCCGGTTCTAAATCTTTCACAAGACCTCGGATCTAGATTAGACGGGCCAACCGGGAATTAAATAGACCTAGCATTTGCATGCGAAAAGAAGAGGAATCTTACTCCATCTGATATAGCGCTTCGTCCGTACGTGTAAGCATTGTCCAAAACACTGTTGACGGACTCCTCCCATTTCTCCGGGACCCAGTCAATGTCGGGATTGTTCATCAAGGAAGAATTCAATATCTCGCCCGTCACTTGAACGAGATGCAAACCTTCCGCGTAAATCTGTAGACAGAATTATAAACAATAGAATTAGCTATATAGTGTACAAATTGTAAAAAATTGTTATAACGCATTGAAATCAGTATTTTAATATATTGTTCGGGAAGTGTTTTATTTCTTTTGTTATAGAATAAAAAACTTGCCAAGCTGTTTTCTGCAGCAAAATCTTCACAATTAAAAAATCCAGCAACCATCTTTAAGAAATCTATAAAGACGCGCGTCGCACCTGAATCGTTATGAAGATAGATGCGCAAGTGGTGAAAACGATCAGTCCGAGTATCACAGCCGTAGTCGCTACCGCGTCAACGGACCCCTTCAGGACGTCCCTCAGTTTCTCATCCACGATAATGCTTATTTTGTAAAGACCCCTGACGTTGGAAGGTACGAGCGCTTGGTGTCGCTCCAGACACCACGATTTCACCGCTTGTATCACCGAGTCGCAATGTTTGCGTATCGTTTTCCAAAAGCCGAAGTAAGTGCCCAGCTGCTTGACGATATAATACGCCAGCGGAATCACCAGAATGTGCATGATCCACCAGTGCTTCCAAAGAAGCATACCGATGCACGCGTACAGCGCGCCGTACATGTATTTGTCAGTGTCGACTTGATCGTCCGGCTCATCTAGAGACATTCCTATCTCAGCCTTTATTTTGCTCAGCAGATAACGTTCGCGTAATGTGGCACGTGTCGCAGAACGTACGTTACATCTGTACAATTTGTGCGTGGCCATGTCTGTATCCAGAGACATAGATTTCAAACCTGAATCTCGGAATCTCGGATTTTTTTCGATTCTCGTCGCACTTTCGTTGGACGCTGATTTCTTCGCTTCTTCTGCACAGACCGATACGTCCGCGCTCTCTTCTTCCGAAATTCGCTTATTATCGCTCTCTAACGGAGCCAATTTATCTTCCTGCGGACTGAGTAATAAATTATTCGTTAAGGCGAAACACGCGGCCTCCGAGAACGTCAAATGTCTACCATTCAGCTCTTGACTTTCCATGATCAATATTACTTCGTATATGAAGCCAGCCACGCACAGGATTTGCAGACCAGTAAACACAAAAACTCGATAAGCGCCCGCTATATTCGACAGGTACATGGTAATGATAAACCATATTACAAAAGACGTGTACCGAAAACGAACAGAGTTCGATGGAGTCCAGTGAACATACAAGATCATCAAGTATCCAATGATTATTGTAAAAACCTGTAAAATAAAATATCAAGATTAAATATCCAGAATGTGATATACTTCTAGTGACGAACACTGACAATAAAACTATTTGACTGCCATTTGAGAATTTTCCAATAGCACATATGAGATCTTTTATTCTCAACTGATTGGAGTAATATTTATCTTTGATTTATCTCAGAAAAAATGTAAGTTTTTGTATTATTTTGCAGCTATTGCATTTTATAACACATAAAACTAATTGACCACTTTCCACTCTACAAATATTCCTAAATGACAGCGATAAAGTTCATCTCATTATCATTCCACATACAAAACAAAAGAAAGTAAATAAATACAGAGAATAAAGTACCGTATAAATATTACACGTGAGGATGAAGAATCCCGAGACGGTGGTGAACACTTGCAACATCCTCCAAGCGAGGCACGTCATCACGTTAGGGGTGTAATGATACACGCCGGTGGTTACCAATGCCAGTGATATCGTTCCAACAACGTATTTGATCTGCGTCCAGAGAAAGGAGCCCAGATTCTCGGAGACATTGTCGAATATATGAATTGGCAACAAGCCGACGTTGACGATCAGCGGGGTGTGCGACGCCTCGGTCCTGGTGAACCAGGACTGCACCGTCGTGGCCAGCGAGTACTTGAACGGAAACAAGACTGAGCCGCATAGCAAAGCCCAGATCAAAGGCTTGACGAAGGGGCTCAATACGATGTAGAGGCCGTAGCCAGCCGCGGAGACGAGACACAGAAAGAAGAGTGCGACGGCATTGTAAATTCCCTGTTTCAAGGCCTTCTCGTGGCCCGCACTGAAGCCCGACAGCATGTTTAAGAGGTTATCCATCGGCGATCGTACATTATCCATGATGTATAGTCAACTGGATGCTGTAATTATAACTCAACTTACTCCCGGGTGCGTTTCAAATTGTTTTTGATGCGTAATTCGCGAATACGAACGACGAAAGCACGCATTTCGTTGAGAAGCAAAACGTTAAGCTAACACCGAACGACGCATACATGCGCACACATCACTGGACACTGCTATCAGCTGATTCCAAACTGTTCCAAAGTGACACCGTTGCGAAATGTTAGTGAAATGTGAAAGTGGGTCGAGGAAGTCTTGAAAAAAGCTGAAATAAAAACAATATATAATTCGGAAAGAACATAATTTCTACCTATATAACTTTTCTGTTCTGTACGTTGTATATAAAATTTGATTTTATTGAATTTTTTTCATAATTTGAAACAGGAAGTGGAGAGAAAACACTTGTAAAACTGCATTATAATTATAATTTAATTTAAATTATTCTATACTTCTGGCGGAACGCTTGACAGAGTAGATGGTTTCATTTCAAAATGAAAAAAATTTTATTATCGCTCGAAAAACTATACATTTTAATGAATTCGTAAACGAATATACGTAGACACATGTTGAAGATACAAATCTGGCGAGACGGCGCCGGTACGACTTACCTTTCTCCCCGTGTAAAGGGATGAGACAGAATGAGATCCAAAAAGTAAAAAAAAAAATGACCTGAGCTTTTTTTCTCGTTTTATACACACTATTTTAAAAATTGTTATCGGAGTCATGAAAGAGACGTTTTAATGATCAAACGTATAATGCTTGTAAATATTTATGAATGCGCTATTAAGAACGTGTGATTTACATCCCGTTTCCTCGAATATTTTTTGTGTATATATATATATATATGTATAATCCATATGTCGCTGATGTGTGATTAGTAAAATTTTTGGCTGCAGAGATTATTTAAAACCGTTGGTGTGTTTGTCATACGTGTATGTGCGTGCGTGCGTACATACAATACTCTATCTCTAGCATTTTCTTGTGACGATGATATTCTAAACGACACGTTAGACAGCAGACAAATTCACAGAATCGTGGAAATGTACATTATAGTGTCGATGTGACAATGCATCAATTGAACTTAATTAAAATTTATATTAATTTTATTACAAAGAATCAATCAAATATAATATGTAGTTCGTTAAATTTAATTGCGATTAAAAATCTGCTCGTTTTAGATATTCGTTCACTATCTTCTTTCTCTCTCGTAATCGTACGGGTATGCATTTGTCGTGCATTTTCCGTTTTACATAAGCACAGAAATAATACACAAAGATGTAGAGGAAAAAAATAAACAATTTTTACATGTTATACGATCATGTCGTGGCTAAAAGTTATTTTATGTAAATTCAAAAATGTATATCGCTTGTTAGATCAATCATTGAATACGTAAACGCATTGCTCAAAGAGAAAGAAAGAAAGAGGGAGAGAGAGAAAGAGAGAGAAAGACAGAGAGAGACAGAGAGATAGAAAGAGCCAATTGCATATTTCTTCCATGTTTCTTAATTTTCATTACAAGTACATCGAATGTAGCGACATTTAAGATACTATACATTGCATCAAGCGGATAAGCACTTGTTCATTGAGTTTCTATCGAACGCATTTGTGTGTATCCTTGAGTTTTCAGCAACATACAGAGTCGTTTATGGGAACATCTAGAGAACGAGAGCGTTAGTATTAATCCGGGAGAGAGTTTCTTGTTGAACAGTCGACCAGCGTGTGTCAACAATACACACACGTATATCATTCGTGGGATTTTCGTTTTAACATAATGTAATGCAAGGTAAAAGTTTATATGATTTCTCGCTATTGACATCACAATTCAATATGACTACACAACAAGGAATCGGGATCCCTAATCGAAGGAGATATTACTTTAGTGCCATTATTCGACGGCAAGCTCGACAATGATGAAAATGCTGCGCGCTGCAAGTGACCGCGGTGTTGTTTTTCTTTTTTGATCGGGAACAGATGTGTCGGAGCTCGAAACTTTACTAATTGTTCTGTTCATTCGTGAATGGCGAGATGTCTGTTGATTCAACGAGCGAGCTGGCCGACGACTGTAGAAAAAGTTGCAATCGTTTATGACGAATGATGGTTAGATAGAAAAAGCTTAGCAGCTGAGCGGCACAAAATAGCGATCGAAATAAAAACGAACATCAGCGTTTCGCGTTCGACACTTCCGGAGTTGACAGAATCGCGTGATCGGCGCGCCGTATAATGACAATAAATAAATACATTGGTAAACTGCGTTTATGATCCTACATTGTCAATTCATTAAGAACTTAAATTTCTAACGCTCCGTACAAATGAAAGATTTCTTTCGATATTCAGTGGAAATTAATTATTATTTGTATGAATAAATTCTCTCTTTTACCTCTCTTTCCTAACATGTACAAGTTGATTATAAACAGAAATAAATAAAATGATTTTTTTTATATCAAGAGGAAAGTAGCTAGAGCTCGGAAAATTGAGAAAAACAAAACTGTCAAGAATTTTTCTTTGAAATTGGCGGATTAAAAAAAATTGGCCGATAAAAGAATGAAAAATATGCAGAGCGTGGGGCGCGTAAAGCGTTACACGTGTTTGACACGTAATGCAATTCGCTTGATACGCCACAGTACACTAAATATACAAAACGAAGCGACACATGCCAGTAATAAATGTATGAAAGAAATTTCAGCGTGTGTTCAAACGTATACTCTCTTATCTGTTTACTTTAACAATTTCTTGAAACCCTGTGACCCTTTTTCACACACAAATATAGCACGAAATTGTCAAAATAATTAGCATTATCAACAAAACTTTCCATGACATAACGTGCTTTAAGTGTATCTTCAAATACACCTTCAAATTTTCCCCGCAATTGTATTTTCTGAATACTGGATGGTTCATGTTAATGCACATCAAAGACGCGTATTGTGTTTCTTTTTTGCCAGAAGACAAGTAATCCATCTCACAGCACTAACAAACGTTCGGATGGAGAAAAAAAAATGATTTAGTCCAGGTGTACGACGGCGACATTACAACTTCCCAACTTTGTATACTCGAGAACATAACTTAAGTAATGAAAATATCTTATTTTCCTATATTTGGAAAGTAAATCGCGGTCTCTCGAGATACATATACATACGATATACATTATATACTAAGTTACATCCGATTTCGAAGGAGCGCGAACACACACCGTAAACTCTATCGGCGCAAAAAGATCACACACAAATTATACAAGTCGGTAAAACAGGTCGTCAAGTTTCGCGCGGTACGCTGCTTATAGCACCCGCTCACGTCGCACAATTCATACGCGATAATTAATTATTCTTGCTTTGCACTTGCACGATCGTCTGGAGATCGACGATGGTCTTCTCCAGCATCTCGAGCCACGAGCCGTTGGTCAACGAGCAGCGCAGCTGATTTGTACAACTGTTGGGGGTGGTAACCAAACTCGGCGGCGAGCCGCCGCCACTGGTAGCGGTGGCGACCGTTTCCGTTTGAACGTTGCCCGACTGCTTGTGCCGGGCGGTGTCGGCCTTCTCGTCCACGGAATCGGAAGACATCGCGTCGTTCACCGTGTCCGTCTTGTCTATTTCCGCCTCGGAAACGCTGTTCTGATCGATATCCTTGATCGGCGCGCGCGAATTCTTATCGGCCGTCTCACTATCGTCGCACAACTTACGTCTTTTATTGTGCGTCTCCACTTCCGGCGATGCACGGTTTTCCTTCACTGTAATAATCCGTGTTCGCGACAGCAGGGTCTCTAGAGCTGGAAGCAGGCTGACGGATGGTTTCAGTCTCGTACTGCTGCTGTAAACGAGGGCCAGAGCGCGCAGATCACCGGCCAGTCTGTGCGCCGACGCCTCAACGTCCACCGCATCCACCATCGCCGTCAGCGAACTAACCAGATTATCAATGAGCAAGCAGGTTTGTTCGGTCAACACGTGATTGGCCAGCTTCGGGAAGAAGGTTTTCAGGAAAGCGTGTATCGCCGGTACACCCAATGACGATCGCTCGTCTAGTAACACGGCGTCCACATAGTCAACTGTGTAGGAAGAACAAAGGAGAGACGCTATATGCTTTCTGTCTATGTGCGTAGCGGCATGCACGTCCAGCCACAGCCGCGGAAACAGAGCCAAGTGCAAAGGTACACCTGCAAGCATAAGATCAGTCAGAATTTGCGCCATCTCAGCGCGTCTACATATCGATCGTACGTTGCTCACCTTCAAAACCAAGCATAGCGCTCAAATTTACTAACGCGTCCGTCATGCAATCGTTATTGATCGCTAATCTGCACATAACGTCTATCAGCTCGTGATAAGGTAAGTAAAATTCCAGCAGGGCGCTATCGTACTCCGGATCCATCCCCTTCGACGCCTCCAGTTGGGAATGGGGCACCGCCATTTGAACCATCGGCCTGGCAGGTCTAGTAGGCATCTTCCCGGGCGGAGTGGACCTCCTTGGAAGATACGGTCCGGGCGGGACCGCGGCGTGGGATTCTTGAAGAGCTGCGTGGCAGTGTGAAAGTAACGGCGCTAGGATCAATATCGCTTCGGCGGGAACGAGCATGACGAGCTCCTTCAGAAGATCTATAGCCAAGTTCCTCATGTCCGGCGGATTGTAAGTATTGAGCAGCGTTGCCAGTTTGCGCAGAACATCGGGCCACTCTTTGCAATTGGCCAGAATGTTTCTCGCGTCCGGTCCGTCTCTCGCGGTACGGACGCATCGCACCAGCTCGACGATAATGGCGATCAGCTCGGCCAGATCACCGGCGACGTGGCACGCCGTTGCCTCGTGATACATGATATGTAGCATGTGAACGCTTCGAGGGCCATGCTCAAGCCGCCATTGTAAACCACATACAAGCGATCGTCGTCTGATTCAATGAGAATTCTGAAGAGAACGTACATTTGTTTATACACTCAATTTGACAACACGTCTTAATACATTTCGTTTAAAGGAATCCCGGAGTCGTCTGTTTTACCGATTTCTTTTAAATAGACTTTACTTTCTTTGGCTGTGTAGAATGAAAAATCCTTTTCTGTAATTAAAGTACATATGCTAATACAGGGTGGACGTTCGATTTGAAAAGATTTTTCATTCCACGCAGCCAAAAAAAAAAAAGAATTTTTCAAAAAATAGAAGGTAAAACAGGTACTGATCTGTTTTACTTTCTATTTAAAAGATCTATTTAAAAGAAATCGGTGAAACAGACGACTCCGGGATCCCCTTAAAAAATATTCAAACATATTAAGCTATTAAGATAATGTAATAAATTGATAAACTTTTGTAATTAAAATATCAATGATTTAGCAAATAATGCAATAAATAATAATTTTGAAAAAAGTTCAAGATTTTGATTATTTTAAAAAATTAATAAGTACTCAAAATCGATATATAGCGTACCGAAAAGCAGAGATAAGAGTAGCCCAGCACGAACGACCATCGAGTCCCTGTAAATAAGAAGACAACGTGCCTCTCCTGAACGATGCGATATCCGCCTCTTCTTGTTCCGTTTGATCGGGATGTCTCGCGACTAGTAATTGCATCAATTTAAATAATTCGTCCACCGCCTGCATTAGAAGAAAAAAGAAAATTATGTTTGGAAATAAAATTTTATCTGAATAACAGTTTATGCGAATAATCTCCGAGTCAAATCATGGAAAATTCACTTACAGTTGAATATTGCGTAGGATGGGGAGTGATATTTTTGAAAGCCCACTGAATATTCTGATGTGCGGCCAATTGTCTTGTGAAGGTGCGCGACTGTTGACAGCAAAGCCTCAAAAGGCCGTAGTAAGCGGGTAACATGATTCTGTTGAATATCACGACGTCCTGGTCTTCATGATCGGCACTAGAAAATTAATAAAAATGAAAATTAAACATTACTCTCACAAAGGATGTGACAAAACTATTTTCAGTAGGCGCAAAGCCACTACGTGAGCAAATGCAAGGCATGTAAAACCGATTTAAGAGACGCAAAAACTCACAGTATATAGTTAAATGCAATGTTCTTAGTTATGTGTGGGTTGTGAAGTATCATAGCGACGTTCTCCGGACAGTCAGAGCAGACGTTGTACCAGAACAAAAGTACCGCTTGCTTATTATGATGTACCGGAATGCTCGGTTCCGAAAGCTTCGGATGGAAAAGAGTCCACAGATCGTTAAGATATTGGCCGAACTGTAAAAAAAAAACAAACGTAAACGCTTGATTAATTGATCTCTCCTTTGTTGAAGGAGCTGTAAATGCTACTGTAATTTACTCACCATTAATTTTTCGGTCTTAGAGATTACGCAGTATGTGAGCAATGCGAAATAGGCAGTGAGCTTCATTGTACCGTGTGTTTGTATGTCGATATAATGCCGCGCGGGTTGCAGCAGTCTCAGGAGTGCCGTGTATATCTGATGCAGTATCAGAGTGGCTTCCGGCGACAGCTGAAGCTCCCGGGACACATTGCAGCCTAGATTTACGTTGTTGCGGTTAGTGGTGCGGTAACCCTGTCTGAAGTGCGTGGACGGGACCAGCGATACCAGCAGAAAGGCGGCGGCCGAACGGACTCTCTGATTGGAGTGCTCGAGAAGAAAATGTTGCAGCCACGTGTCGAGTCCCTGCAGCACCCAGGCGTGAGCCAGTTTGCTTCTCGTGACTGCAAGCGCCAGCCATTCGAGCGCGCCGTGCGGCGCGACTCGTGCCGCCTCCCAAACCCTGCCGAGAATCATTTGGGTCATGCAAGGTAGTCCGCTTAGCCCTGTGCTTTCCGTCAGTAACGTCAACAGCTTGAAAAACGGCTGGCACACGTCGGTGTGCTTCATTATCGCCTGGAATATCATCGAGATGATGTGTATCGCCAGTCGATCGTTCCAACGGCACAACGACTGAATCAAGTTCCTGGTTTGCGTGAGATTGATGAGATCGCGCGTTTGCTGATATAAGAAGGGGAAGCCTTTGCCGCCCGCTACGGCGCTCAGGTCCACCGGCGACAGGGTCAGCCTGTGATCCTGCCCTCTACTGCGCTCGACCAGGTACGCTATCAGCGTGATCATCTTGTCCAAAGAAGCGGGTCGAAGTTTCTCCGACGGCACCGTCACGATCTCCTCCTCCTCCTCCTCTTCGCTAACCGCGTCGACAAACTCGTGCGTCTTGTGCCCGAGATAGAAGTTGACCATCGTGGAGATGGCCTGCACTCTGATCAAAAAGATCGCCTCGTCGTCGCCCATCTTACTGAACTCGTACAGGAAGCTGAAATACTCGGTGAGGTGCTTGAGGTGCTGCTTGGCGTGCTCCATCAGCGACAGCAGCATACGGACGAATCGCGTGACGCAAGATCGAGTACCCACGGTACTCACGTCGTTCTCCTCGTCGCAAAGAAGATACAAAGGTGCTTGAGTAGCGCGCAATCGTTGAATAACGTGAATGCACAGCCGTTGAAACATCTGCCGTACCATCTGATTGGGGCATTTGACTAGAATCTGTATAGGCCACCACGAGTCGCCGGCCATACGCTCGAGGAATCTCGCGCACGCGCCGGCCGAGCCGTTGAACTGTTTCGTCAGCAGCTCCACCCACTGCACCATAGTCGGCTTCTCCTTCGCGTGTATAAACGTCTCCATGAAGAACGACGTGGACAGCTCCGCGGACATCTCCGTGATGTCCGGCTGCACCGAAAGCAGCGTCTGCGGTATGTAGCCGCACACCTGCCACATGAAGCCGAAGTACGTGTGCTCGAATATGTTTTTGTCCTGCAGAAAGTGCATGTTGTCCTGCCAGATCCAATCCTCGAGCTCCTTGTTGAGCTCCAGCGGCGGCAATTTGTTCATGTTGTTGCGCATCAACGTTGACGACGATCGTCCGGTACTGTTGTCGGCATTCTCCGCGGTGGGACTCGACACAGTGGCCTCCTCCTCCTTCGCCTGTTCGCCAAGATCGGCGCACCACTCGTAGAACAGCATGTACGCCGAGTTGGTCTTTTCAAAACTAAAATCCATAAATTTGTCCGTCACCGAGTCGTACGTCTTGCTGGTCATCTCGCCGCCGAAGCACTCGGCCGCGATCTGATTCGGGTCGAACGGCTTGACCTCGGCATCGTTAAACAGAAACCACTTATCTTTGTTGGGCGACGTGCGATCTCTGATAAAACTGTAATAATGCCCACCGTCCGCCGTACCCGTGTGCACAGTCACGCCGATCAAATCGTACTGATAGTGCTCCATTTCCTCCTCTTCCTCCCCCACGTCATCCACTATCAGCGACGCCGATTGACCCTCGCTCTCGCACTTTCTCTTCTCGGACGCGGCTTTCTTCTCGTCCTGATAGTGTTGCGGCATCAACTTTTTCTCGACATAACCAGACATGTCCAACCTAAGCGGGAAACTAAAGTGCGTGTTAACTTTCTCCTTCAACATGGTGCCCATGTTGAAAGTGTAGCGCATCGTATTGAAGCACAGTATGTGTGGTAACTTTTTGAAGCAGGCTCGCTTCTCGGCCCGCGCCTTCTTGCCGCACTGCGAACACGTGTACATATTGTCGCCCTCCAGCGTGTCCTTCACCGTGACCTCGTCCAAGCTTTCATACAGATTTCTCATGTCAGCCACTTGACATCGGACGGTATAAAACTCTTCCAGCGTTCTGCTGACATGCTCGCAGTCGAGCGAGACGACGTTGTTGGATATCACGCCGCAAAATAACGTTTTCACCAAGTTCTTCAAGTCCGACGTCATCTCTTCGAGTTTCGAGACAAGATCGATGAAGAACTCGGCCATGTCCTTCTGCTCGCCGGTGTTGAGCGGCTCGTGATTCATCGTGTACACGCGACAAAAGCTCCTCGGATTGTACGCCTTTCTCTCCGATTCCAACAGGTAAGCGAACATTCTCTGCAGCTCCCGTAAGGTCAGCTGATGCTTGTTCGCTCGACTACAATCGGCGCCCAGTATAGAGACGCGCGCTTGCGGCATCATGTATAAATGTTGCATGCAACTGGCCATGTAACACGTTGCGCCGAGATTCGTCAGGCCCACGTAGCCGCAATCGGAGCGTCCGTCCTCGTGCGGCCAGTAGTCCCAAGGATACGGGGAATGTGGTCCAGGATGATGCTGAGCGAGCAGCTTCTCGTGTAGTATCTTGTAATTGTCGGGCGCCGATTTCACCAGCTCGACCAGTAAATCGAAAGCCGCCGATCTGGACGCCTGGCTCTTGCACTTGGGCACGTGTTTGCTGCGTGGATTCGGCAGGGCGAACAGAAAGTCGAACACTTGATGTAGTAGATTTTGCCCGATCTTGCCCTGCTTGCAGGGCGGATTGTGCGTCATTATGTTGCACGTGAGATTGATCAGTCCGACCAACGCGTCATCCTCCACCGTGTTGTGCCGGGTCTCTAGGTGTTCTCGGTCGAGCACGGAGTCGATCACGCGAATTGCCAGCGCCTCGAGATCGATAGTCGTTCCGGATGTGTCGTCCGTCGAACCCTCGCGAATCGCCTCGTCCGGCAGAGAATCTACCAGACGACACACCAGCCAGAAGTAATCCTTACAGGCCGGCCCGTACGGTTCCTTTCCGTCGTCCAGCGCGGGATGCAAGTGTATCGGCAGGTCCGGTTTGCGATGAGAAGGCTGCATAGCCTCCGCGATCACGAGGTGCTCCAGCAGGGTGTTCAGCATGGGCACTATTAAACCTGGCACTTGGTCCGAGTTGTCGTCTTCGGCGCCGGTGCTGCCCAAGCACAGCCTGTACAAAGCCGTGCACACCTCGCGTCTCACCGCCGGCTCGGGATCCTCCAGTATCAATCTGCGTAACCAGGTCTTTCCGAACGGCTCGGACGACGAGAACAAGTATTGCCTGACCACCAGGTCGCTGTGCACCCAGCAAACCAACAGCGCCATGGCGTAATGTATCACCTGAGATCGGCCAAACAGTCCTGTCTTGTAATGATTCGGGTCGAGCGGTAGCGAGGCGTCGTTCAGGATGCTCGTTATCCGCGGCATCACGGTGTCGACGTTCATCATCCTCAGCATCGCCTCGCTCAGCTTCGGCACCAATAACGGCTTGTCCGCCTTGTTGCGTTTCTTCTCCTCCTTCACGACACCGAGATGGCAGAGCTGCTTCAGCAAACTGGCGAGACAGTCTTGCTGCCACTCGCTGCCGTCTCCCTGCTCCAGACAGCCCGACATAAAGATGTCAAAAAGATGCCGGAGTCCGCCGTGTTGCACAAACAGAGTGGACCAGGGCACGTCTTTCTCCTTGTCGTCGTGATTGTCGTCCGCGTCGCCGCCACCCTCGTGCGCCGCCGTTGTCGCCGACGCGACAAAGTTGCTCGCCGACGACGGTTGATTCGTGACGCTTCGTCGGCTCAGAGACTCGACTATGTAGAGAGAGTACATCAACTTTTGCGGACTCGCCGGATCGAGTAATTCTTGAAGGGACGTCTCGCCGAGTTTTTGGAAGCCGCGCAGTAGAGTCGGACTCGTAGGCAAGAGAGTGAGTGTGTCCCAGACTCTCCTCGAGAGCACCTGGGCCTTCGTATGCGGGATCTCTTGGCCGCCCTTCACGGTCGTCCTCATGGCGCTCAGAGTTCGCATAAGCGTGAACAGTTGCTCGAAGTACTGCGGTCGAAGTAACAGTAGAGTCGGTAGGGATTCTCTAGGCGGGGGCGGTAACAACGAAGGCGAATCGACGTCTCGTTTGCTGCAACGACCACCGCCGCCGTTGCCTCTGCTGGCGCCGGGCGAAATAAATACCAATTGCCCGTCCTTGAAACCCATCTCTTGCAAGGTTTTCTCATCAAAATCGATAGTCAATTCTTGGCCCTGGGTGATCATTCTGATCGGACCGTCGGTGAGCAACGATCCTAAGACCGAGCCGCTGTTCTGAGCGGCGTTCACAGAAGTCGCGGATTTCTCCTGAGCATTCTGCGTGTCATCCCACCACTTGGCCACTTCAGCGCGCAAATCCGCAACGTAATCGGTGTTGAGGAGAGTGAAGCTCGTCTTTTCCGGTATACCAGCGGGCTGCACAAAGATTCTCAATTGCTGGCCTTTCTCGGATGTATTCATGGCTACGTGGCTGGCGGCGCCTCTACCTTCCAGCACCCAGCGGCGTAAATGATAGGCGTAACGCTTTCGAAAGGCCTCCAAATGCGTTCTTAATAGAAGCAGAGCACGCTGTATGCAGCGCAAGCTGGCCTCCTCATTTGTCTCAAGGTCAGCACTGGCCGCCGCGAGATGTGTCATACACTGGGAAACAAATTCTGCCTCCTGCGTCAACTGTCGCGACATGTAGTAACCGTTGAGGTATTGTATGGCCGCCATGCTAACATCCGTGCTCTTCGCTTTCAGGGCAATTCGCCAGAGAAAATCCATACCTATCGAGTCCACGTCCCTCAGCGGTCTATCCAAGTGCGCCGCGGCTAAGCGCGCCAGGTTGCACAGCTGTTGAAAGAGACTCAAACCCGTCATACTGATCGTCTCTGGCGGTAAACTCGGCAGTTTGCGCATGCACAGGTGTTTCAGCGTGTCCATTCCTAACGCGTGCTGCTCCGTGGATTTCGCTTGGCTGAGCAGCCAGCTGAAGAGTTCGTCCGCACAGATCGAATCCTGCGACAAGCATTGCCACAGTATGTCTACTTGTTCCAGGCTCAGTCGGAAGCAATCGGGTGAGCCCAGCGGCGAGAAGATCGACGATAGAAACTGCAGTCTAACTTGTATTTCAGTTTGATGAGAATACAAATTGCTCTTCGGCCCTGTATTAGTGTACGTCTTCAGGTTATTGAAGAAGTGCTTCATCATGCCGCGCTCACGATCGGCCCAAGTTGTAATCGTGTGCGCGTCCATCGCGCCAAATTGTTGAAAGCTCGCGAGCAGCTTCGGCAATAGTCTCAGAGAAACGACTACGGAACGATTGGTCGCCAAGTTCTCCAAGCAGCCTTCTATGAATTTCATGGGGATCAAGCGATCGACATTGAAGCACAAAAGATTGCACAGCGCCTTTTCCGCTTCCAAGGCCAGGCCCTCCCCGAGCTGGCCTATTTTATCATCTTGAAGAAGATCCCACAGCAACGTGTTACCCGGTTTGCAAACAGTATCTAGATTGAATTGCGAATTCAACTTGGTGGCAGTTTGTCGAGCGTTTCGCACTTGCGGTGGTTGACAAACCGATCTTCTGATCGTCATGGTCGAGTGCGAATGATGAGGATGATAAGCTTGCATTTGGATGGCGGTCAAGTGACGCGCGGCTAACTGAGCCAACTCCTCTTCGCAACCGCTCTCCTCACCGTCAAAGTCGGCCATGTTCTTCTCACTTTTGTTCGATATTCTGCTGCTGTACGAGCCTTCCTCGTCGGACAGCATCTCATCCAATCCCGAGGGCAGAAACGTAGGGCCAGTAGCGTGCACCAATCCAGCGAGCTCGGATATTACCGCGCCGGGACCATCCGCGGCGGCGAGTACGCCCGCCACATCGCTGTCGTCCTCGTCGTGCGAACTGTCCGCCGAGTCGGCCGCCCGATCCACGTTGTATCCCACTATAGACATATATTTATTCTTGTTGGCGCGTCTCAGCAGCGCCGCAGTGGTTGGAACCTGTTGATCATTCGGATCTAAAGCCATCGCTTGTTGCTTCACTCGATCTAACGCGTCGATGCCCTTCGGTTCGTCCAAGGCGCCCACGTCCAGACTACCGTTCAGCACATCTTCCGTTCTGCTCTTCGTATCCAATAGATCTTTTGATTTCACGTTGACGTCTTGGCCGACGATATCTTCCAGCGTTTTCTCGACCGTGCTCAACGAGCGTTTCTGCGGTCTCTTTCGCTTGCGCAGAATTTTCCGCTTCTTCTTCTCGTGCACAAACATCTCCTCCGTATTAGACTTCTCCGTGTCCGCTTCGGCGTCGGATCCACTTTGCTTGTTCTTCGCATCATCGCGAATAGCGCTTACCGACGAATCCTTAGTCAATTCCGTGCTACATTCATATTTATCAGCATTCAGACCCTCGATTTCATTAAGACTCGACTCGATAGTAGCGGTTGTTAGATTCTTGCTTTTATAATGTCCTGCAAAGTATGCACGCACACAAATGTAAGCGTGTAATTTAAACGAATATTTAATTTAGTGAACTGCGTACCTTCACCGTCGCTGCTATCGGTCCTCGCTTGCTTTCTAGGCGACGGCCCGTCGGACAGTGTCGGACTAGGCTCCTCCTCATCGTCCTCCGGGCTGCTGCCATCCATCCCGCTTGGATCGCTACTGCTACTCCCACCAACCGCTCCGGTGCTTCTCAAAATCTCTCTATTCTTCATTACCAAGCCTCTCGGATAAGCCGAGCGACCGGACGTCCAAATAAACTTGATCAAAGCCGACGCTAAAAACAAACTTTGCTCTGTGTGGTCCTTAGGTTCTAATTTGCCTAACAATGAATATAGGTGAAGTACGGGAGTAGGTGCCAAATGTTTGACCAAAGGCGCCAATAAGTCATAAACTGGACGGCCGCAATGCTTCAACTGCGCAGCTTGCCACATGGTATCCATGTCCGAGGATGTGATTCTACCTTCCATCGCCAGGAAGCTCAATATAATGTGACTCTGCTTAATCACTTCTACGTGTAGATTTGGTCCGAATATATGTGCTATGATGTTGTTTTCGGTCAACCAAGCGGCGAGCGCGTGTCCCACTTGCTCGACTTCGGCAACGGTCTCACTATTGCAGAGCTCATTGGATGCGGTGATATGAGCGTTTATCTGCGCCACACCGGCCAGTCTCATAGTTAACGTTGTACTAGTAAAATATTTAAATGCCAAATCAAGCCCATCGCGATCAAAACTTGGTAATACAGCATCTATCGGATCCTTCACAGCGCTCCACATAAAATCTAAATATGAATAAACAATATATTAATATAAAATCACAATACATACGCGTTATGTTTCTCACAGCTTCGTAAACATACCTGCCATGGTCCTAACAGCCGGAGTGCGTAATTCTTTGTCTCCTAAACGACACATATATTTCATAACACGACTGCGCAATGGTATAAATAATTGAATGACGCTGGCGTAGTTTAACCAAAGTTTCAGATTGCAAATAACCGCCACCATAGAATGCGCGAGGCTAACGGGCAGTGTGCTTTCCATATCGAAACAAGCGGACATCAAATTAAAGCCTCCTTGATGGCAAAATATAGACACCGCACGAATCAGAGGTGCTGGTACTTCAGGTTCGTGCGGTTCGCAATAGCCACCTTCATCCTGTCAATTAGAAAATAATTCAATGTAATCGGTTGATTCACAAAGGACATGATATTGCACAAAAGTATTACCTTCACAGGAGCTAAGGGATTAATTACACCGCCGTGTTTCATGGCGATGTAAAGAGGAAAGTTGAGTAAAAAAATTTTCGAAAGAAGATGAAACAATCTTTCTCTATCTTGTTGAGACCAGATTTGTCTCGACTGAATTTCCACCTGTACATGTTCTGCATTATCGCTAGATTTTCGTTTATTACTTTTGTCCTCCTCATCCTTTCCCTCTTTAGCAACGTCTCCTTGCTGTTCATTTTGCTGTATAACTTGCAACTGTTGCAATGTACAAAGTACAACGCTCTGTGTTAGCCTTATAAATCGATCAAAATTTTTAATTTCTCGATAACAACACATACATTGTCTGAAAAGGAGGCAATAACTATAATAATAATTATATATAAACAAAAAAAATTATACATATACTACATTAAGTAAGCATAGATTTATTAGAAAGTTTAACTTGCTACTATAAAGAGCTACTCAATAAAACTTATTGGAAACATTTGCTCTATATGTAAAAATAACAGCAGTGACTCATGGTTGAAACTTCAATAGCTTTCTAATCTATTTATGATAACTAAAATATATTAAATTACGAATTATGCATTTCGACTTTATACGTAAAAATAAAAAATATAAAAAAATAGTATGCTTAGAATAGAGCAACATTTCACTGTGTTGTATGGCAATAATAGGTTTTATTTGATTCCGTCAATGCAAACAAATTAATAAAAAAAGAAAGAAAATAGAAATATTTAAAATTTTAATTAGATAAATTAATATACCTTTGCATCCATTGGTTAACATAATGCAATGTCGTGTCGACGTCTGTTATACATAACGTCGCCAATGCATCTTGCTCCTTTGATGAACGTTCGTCATCTAAAAATAAGATAAAGAAATAAAAAATAAATCTAAAACACTTAAATAAAATCTATGTACTTTCTTCAGAATTTTTATTTGGTGACAAATTTATAAAACTTTAAGATATTCCATGTTGCATCATTAATGACCCACATTGTTGACGTTATTAAATATGTTTATGAAATGTATATTTCATATGATACATTTTATAATATTTACGTATATATTATTAATTATAATATTAAAATGTATTTTGTAATACTTTTAAGAAAGGAATTTCCACACGTTGATTAAGCGGCACGTTGTAAATCGTGAAAAAAGCACGTGGTGAAAAAAATCATAAACGCCATTTTACTAACGAATACTGTCTAAAATATCGCCAGGGTAATTGTAGATAAATATCTTACATAAATGTCAACAATATAAATTCAAAGTTGTTGAATAAAGTAATCTTTGTAGAAAAATATTGTGAAATTTTGTCAAGACAATACATTGTTTACGTTTGAAAATTTACACGTGTTATTCAAAAGCAGAATTAAATTCTTATAAAATAAAATGATTCAGAATAATAGCGAAACGTACATTTATGCAAAAAATAATTTAAAAATACAGAAATGTTCTTCAAATAAAACATTTAACTCTCGGTATTCGGCGCCTCGGTCCCGAATAAAGAGCCAATGATTAAGGTTATAAAACGCCATTCTGCCGTTCGCGTTTCGCAGAAAAGGAATATTTCGCGCGAGCATAACTTTTGCGCGACGTCGATGGTACTCTTCGACGATATTTTCCTAAAGAAATCCGCTTGCAATGACGCGCATAATCTCAGCAAGTGAACGAAGCAAAACAATATAGGTTAAGGGTCGAGAAACGCTGTGTTCTCTCTGTATACAATTCTACTTACAGGAAAGCAGAAGATCGTGAAAGTCGACGCACACATCGCACATGGTGGTCAGGTTCTTTAGCCTGGCGAGAGGCTCTCGGTCACGTCAAGTTCATCACTCGTAGTCACTAACGCACATCTCAACGACGACAATATTATTAAACATCCCCCGTGTGCGTTCGACTAACACCGACAGTCACCATATTGCTTTTGTGCGAAGCAGGCTGTGTGCGTCCGTCCACTCACCGCTCACTTCAAGTAAGCGAGCGTGTGTGCGCGTCGTTCGCAGCGCGTTTAACTCTAAAGAAAATGAACCGAACGCCGTGTCGTTGCACACGATGTCGAATTTGAAGACCTCGATCAAAACGCGATCAACCGTAATCAATTGTCACGCGTGCACATCACCGTCGATTTAAGGCTAATTAATCTAGCGTCGACAATGCGAACGTCGTTGTGACAGAAGACAGCTGATCGTCGCCATATTGAATTACGACGGTGCGCGCAGGATTTAAAAATCCTTTTTTTACTTCGTCGGAAGTGATCGCGATCACGCTGTATGTCGGATCGCACTCCTTTCGCGACGACGTGGAACCGAACAAATAAATGTATACTATTACTATTACTGTAATAATACATTAAGAGCGCTATTCTTTCCATACATGTAAAATTGAAATGTCGCGTCATGTCAATTAACAAATATATCTGTACGATTTGTTGTAAATCACATATTAATTACAAAGTTACTTAATCGAAGCCGCAAATTGCCATGTGGAAAATTGGAAAATATTAATTTTTACTGAAATTTATCAAATAACTTAACCATAGGAGCAATGTCTCTGCAAAAAAATTTATTTTTTATAAATTACTCAGCAAAGCATTACTCAGCATTAAACTGCTCCTTTGCAGTAAATGATTTCGGTAAGCCATTACAAGCTAATTTACATTGATTGTTTTCATATAAGTGTACCAAATATTATATATTTATATTAAATTTATAAGTAGCAAACAATGAATGTAGTGCAAATAACAAATGCAACATAACTAGACATATATTTCTAACAAACTGGCATAATCTAATGATGTACAAGTATAAATATAATGCAAATTGAATACAAACAAAGCATGTGATGTAAATTAAAAAATATTGCTATAGCTGCTGTTTTTCGTAGTGAAAGGATTATGTTTTGTGGGTTATGTTGGACGTACTTCTTTATTTCGTTATCTTTCTCGTATTGTTTTTCAGCGGACGGGAGTATCAAGTAAGGCTGAGCACATCTACCGATAAGAATCTCGTAGTATATCGTGTAGAACAATGGAAGAGCATCAAGTTTTATTTCTTTATTCTCCTTGTAATAATACGAAAAAAAAGTATATCAATTTACTGCGTTATTCGTTTGAGCAATACATTCCGATGTATGAAATATATAAAATATAGAAGTCATCATGAAGAAAATGATGACCGAGATAAAAAAGAATTCATGTTCATTGGTGATATGACAGATGCGACAGCTGATTTCTTCGTATCCCTATCAAGGCTGCTTTCCGATCAACTTTCGGTCACGATCGTCAGGCTCGTGTGAACGTGCGTGCCTCGCCAGACGTGTTTCACGTTCACATTTCCAGTGTTATAACAATTATGAAATTTTAAATTTTACGTGACTGTCGTCGAATTGAAAATGTGTGACGGTACATAGGTATAATAATAACAATAATAATAACAATAATTCTAATAACAGCGCCTGTAACGCAGCCTGCGGCAAGTGGATCGAGAGAGCGGCGTGTACGGCACTGAACGTGGCATCGCTCGCGAGTGCGCTGGTGTTCGGCGGAGAGTCTGCAATAAACAAACTCTGAAATATCTCTGAGAGAAGAAAGCGTACGTACATATATATATATATATATATATATATATGTATACATACATATATGTATATACACGTAAATCCACCACGTTTGTTCTGTGAAAAGCGATCACGCTCTTCGGCGATAGTAATTCAGGACGTAGAACGCAGGTGTGTTTCACGAGCAAACAGAGCAGCTTGGTGTTAGAGTAGGCTGAACGATGGGCAGTACAGACAAGGCCGTGATCACGGGGTTCATATGCAGGCTTTGCAGCAAGATGAACCGCTTCGTAATTCATATCTACGGCGAGGAGGGCGAAAGGATGAAGCTCGCCGAGAAGATTAACACCTACCTGCCGATCACGGTAATCTCTTCGTGTAAAATTCTACTTTATTCGTCGAGCACCTTGCTCATTCCATCGATTCCAATCTTTTCGCATTTTAGCACAAAAGTGGTAGAGATGTGTGAAAGAGAATGCAATTTTTTATACATTTTTATGAAATATAAGTTCCCTTGTCCCTTCAACGCTTACTTTATTTCATTTTTTAATGTGTGTCACATATTTGGTGCACCAACTGTCACATTTTATAAGATGCATCTTAACATCATCCTCTCCATGTTTACAAATTATTTCTACAGTCATATATTGTTTATATATCTTGATTTCTGTGAGAAGGCATCGTAATGCAGTCTCGTGCTCATTTTGTAGGTAAATATGAATGATCCGCTGCCAAAGACTGCATGCTTACACTGCATCGAACGATTAGAGGCGCATCACGAGCTAATGGAACAGATCATGTTCACCAGACGGAGATTGAACACCGACAATAAAGCGGCCGCAGTAGCGTCTTCCTCTGCAACAACTATCGACACATCCCCGACATCCGGTCCACCTCCATGTTGACATGTGCAATGAGAAATAGTAAACCTCTATGCTCAATGCACCATTCGCCAAGATTGGATAATTCCTGTATAATTTCTCATTTTATTTAAGCTAATAGTCAACGAGTGAAATATGTTAAGAGAAGGATAGCGGATAAAGTAAAGTAATGTCAAGCTACACATTTTTTCCATGTAATATAACATCATCACGTAACATTCACATATATTCGTTTCAACAACAAATATTCTTTCACAACGTTAGAACTTTGAAAATTATTCAGTGCCAATGTCCGTTCCTGTTGCGAGGGAACAAGTTGTGAAACATGTTGAAAAATCTTTGGTCGAACAAAAGTATCTTTTTTTACACAATGTCATATGTAGGTAGCGTTTTGTCAATTTGAATATGAAATCATGTAAAGTCACAAATTGAGATAAAACTCAATTGATGTATGGTTATTAATGGGCGAGCTAATTTGTAAGAAAGTGATGTTTTAAATGCAAAATGTTATGGGCGAGCGCAATAATGTTAAAATAATCGATAT